TAATATCAGCCGAGTAAAGAAGTTTGGAAGTAAATAATAATTCATGATAGTACCTTAACGTTTTGGAGTCGTCCCAGTTTTATCAAGTTCCCTCGCGGACTGCCAAAGTCATTGCATAATCTCCGTGCTACAGAATCTCGTTAACCTAAAAACTACATTTCCACCTATTGTTATTATTGCTTTGAAAAATTACGTAAAGTAACGTATAGCCGTTACTTTTTAAAATGAAGTCTTGCGACGTTGTTTTCACTTCATTTTTTTAGGATTTTTTTCCAATACATACCTTTTTAACTCTTTTGCGTGATAGTTAGGTTTGAAGAGTAAGTCCCAGTCCTGTGGTAACTTGTAGATACTCTTATTATATAGGCTTTTTTCTTAAGTTACATCGTATATCAATACATTTATAGGTTCTGTTTCTAGAACTTTTACGGTCTTGAAACTTTTTTACCAATCTTGATATCAACTCTACGTTCTGTTAAATATAACCAATTGTCAATAACATATGTATCAGAAGAATGTTATGTTATTTATCTAGAACGTTCTCCACATGTGATAGTCAGTCGTATACAACAGGTACTTTTAGAAAGTTCTTCCAATCGATACTGATTAGCCTACGCTCTACTGGCTGGGAACGTTCGCTGCGACTACAATGTTCCCGCCAGGTTTCGCCTGCAATAAATCTTTACCCAACTCATTTGTTTAACTTAGGGACTGAGTTATTGCAGTTAGTTCTTGAAATCCGTTGTGCGCTGTTTGTTAACAAGATAGGCATATAGTTATATATCTGAAATCTGTGTTTCTGAAAGCGGACAGAAAACTTCATCAAAATCTTATTGTAAATTAAGGCTTGGCATCATAATTAATAGGTCAGTATAAGTAACATTAGGGATATTAATACTAAATAGGTAAATTTTCATAAAAGTATTAACAATGTCGACAAAGCTGGAAATGTAACTTGGCATAATATAGGAGAACATAATCGATTTAAAAATAATCCACAGCTTTTAAAAGCATTTCACACGGAATATGGGTCGGCTTTTACGTCAAAGCACACGAATGTAACGGCAGCAGTACAATTTCTTTGTGCTCAAAATAATCGGGTTACGGAGTAATAAAACATTTTCAAGCTGTAATTCTATCCGCGTCACAGAATAAAAACATTTACATTTTGTTAATTGTTTATCAAACTGTTATTTGTACTTGCTTCTCTTGAAGTATTTCGATAGTTTAGCAAATATTCAAAGCTGAATCGACCTAAATATTTCAATAAATACAGGCAACGGTTGCAATCTCCAATCGGATTGAATCTGATGTAGTAAATCGACGGTATCTGGTAATAACCATAACATTGTTGTATAAAGTATGCTCGCTGTTGGGGTTCGCTGGCCGCGCTATCGATCTTGGCTCGACTCACGCGATATTCTACGAGCTCATTCTCGTATACACTTAATAGTGATCAACTTTTTAATAATCAAACATAACCTAGATTCTATTTCATGAGTGGATTGTTTTTTCTTTATTTTTATAGGTTAACGTCGCTAACGAACTATTGATTTGTTTTCTATAGAGCTATCTTACAACTTAATGATTTATTTTCAATTTCCAATTAATTTTATTAGAAAGTGAAAGACATTATTTATAGAAAAACCCAGATAGACTATCAATAGTCTGTTTAGATATTCATACACAAGTCACAAAGAGTTTATCTACATTGTTCATCTTTAACTACGCCAAAAACCATATTAAATACTCAAAAATTAACGATAACTTTAAAATACTCTTTCCCCAGCAATATGCCACACCACATGTCAAAACATTTCTAGCTTTCGCCCGTGGAAATTGATGACCTTTTAC